TTTCTCATTAATTCTCGACCATTTCTAGAAAACGACACAGCTACAACTGTTATTTGTTCGTCTTCTAAAACATAGCACCAGAAGACAAAATATAAAAAATTTATTCCACTTCACAGATGCAGTCAAATGACCTGGAAGCAAGGAATGAAAAAGCAGTTACTTTGAAAGCTTTTCTTATTTTCTACGCTTCATCAATACTTTGTATTGCTAACTTAATTTTGGTGAGCTCATTCGTGAACTAAATAAATAATGAATGAGTAAAAATAAATAAATAGAATAGGATGAAGGAAGGCTGTAAATAAAAAGTTGATCACAATCTTAACTCTTTTTCTTCTTAATGGCAGGGTATGTTGTGAAATATAACTCGTATGAAGTGCTGAGATATTTGCAAAACTTCGGACCACAGGTGTATGCAGTAAATAAAAAGTTAATATTCTGATTTCGACTACAGTCTCACCTTAACTGGGTTTGATGCTGATTTGTGCATCCCGGATCATTCCCGTTGATATGTGATTACTGATGGAACCGCTGTGGTGAAAACCAATGGCTGTGAGAAAGAGAAACCAAGGGTCTCAGTGGTGTAGTGGGTAACGCATTAGCTCCAGGAAAGGGTAACTACAGGGTCGAATCTGGCCTGCGGTCCGAGTTTTGCAAATATCTCAACAAACTAGTGATTGCATTTCACATCATACCCTGCCGTGAAAAATAATGATAAGCAGTAAATAAAAAATTAAAACTCCCACGACCAACTTTCTATCAACCTCGGTATTGATCAAGTAATTCTTCGTATTCTTGTTGAGCTAACGCGAGGTGTTAATTTTATTCTTTATTCACGAATAAGCTGACGTTTCGGCGGATTTCGCCTTCCTCAGAGCCTGGAAAGGTCAAGTTGATAGCAATCTAATCGCCCAAACACCTCCACAACCAGACAAGGAAAACGCTAAACCAAGATCTCGATCACATTGAACACAACTTTGCACACTCACCGCTTTCTATGAGTCTACCACTGAGTATGTCGCGTGGAGACCAACCACGCAGAATTCACATGGAAGCGTAACGTGCCCTTCCCATCAGAATAACAGGCTTATATACTGCTCAACATCACGCGTGATAATGAGGCATTCTTTCATGCGGTCTATTTTCGGATTTCTGGAATTAATCCAGAACGCCTCGAGAGTTTTGCACGCTTGTGTTCTTGTTTTCTGTGCGAGGATCGTGACACGTACTTCAAAGTCCTCTCCGTTATGTCTCTGGGTCCAATGCGTGCCTAGTGGCGCATTTGGTTCACGTTTGCCGGCTAGGTGTTCTTTTATGTCGACACAGAGGGGTCTGCCCGTTTCGCCAATGTATTCGTTTCCGCACGCCTTACAGGAGATGAGATAAACTGTACCCGAGCTCATGCAACTACAGTCCCTACCATTACTGCAATTTATGCTATTTTTCGTTGCACATAGACGCTTACATTGGAGATTACGAACTAGCTGGCGCCAAAGATTACCCGGTAGCATTTCAACTACGTTTACAGAATTCTCTAAACCTGCCCTTCTTAAGCAGCATTTTATAGCTGCACTTACATCATTTGAGATAAAGGGTGGGATAAACGAGATCTTTTTATCGCTAGAGTTGTCGTTTGGGGACCTAGGATTTTCTCTACACCTATCCTGAGCTACAGTTTCGTAGCCATTAGAAATGGCTATTTGCCGCGCCAAGTTCCGAAACTCCTCTCTCTGCTCTCTTCCCGTGCACGCGTTAGTTGCTGTTCGAAACATGTATCTTACAAGCACCCTTTTCGTGTGAGAGGGGTGAGAGGAGAGGTAATGAACTAAGATGATTTTGCTACTTGGCTTTCGGTACCACTTCACAATGTAGCCGTTTTCTGACAGGTTAATTTTGACTTTCAGGAATGGAAGCCAGTTTTCTCTCGGTTTCTCTCGGGTGAACTTGATATACTCTGACTGTTCATTCAACAACTCGAAACATTTGTCCATTTTCTCTTATGTTGACCAAAGGGCAGAACAGTCATCTATATATCTACAGTAGAGTAGCGACCCGAGATCCGTCACAAGTGCTTCCACCTTAGACATAAGCGCAATGGTAAGGCTTGGTGCCAGTCGTCGTCCCATTGTCAACCCTCTCATTGGGCGTAGTACTTTCCGGACCATCTGAAGATTAAGCAGCTAAACCATTCTTTTAAGAGTGCCATCAACTGCTCTATCTTGAATCCATACATGTTTATTTCCTCTTCGTGTTGTATAAGGAGTTCGAATATGGCTTGCATTGCGGAGTCATTCGACACGTTTGTATGAAGGGCAGTAACGTCGAAGGACTCCATCACGTACGCGCTGCTGGACTGCTCAGTATGTAAATGATCCAGAAACATCTGGGTATTCGTAAGATGGGCTGGAATGTGTTTCAACAACTAGTTAAATATTAGGGTTAAAAACCATATTATTCTAACCGTAGTGGTCCGTCTACACAGCTAATGATAGGTATAACCTTAAATAATGATGGATCGGTAGACGCAAGACCATCGCTGGTTTTTTTTTTTTTTGTTTTTAAAAACAAGTTCAGGACGGGGCATGTTGGTAAGTCATCTTTTAGTTGAGAAATAACTGATGGTTTTGAGCCAGCACCCCTTGCCATTTTGNATTAGGGTTAAAAACCATATTATTCTAACCGTAGTGGTCCGTCTACACAGCTAATGATAGGTATAACCTTAAATAATGATGGATCGGTAGACGCAAGACCATCGCTGGATACTAACTTATGAGTTTTTAAAAACAAGTTCAGGACGGGGCATGTTGGTAAGTCATCTTTTAGTTGAGAAATAACTGATGGTTTTGAGCCAGCACCCCTTGCCATTTTGGCCCATTCGTGGTTCAATTTTCGGTATTTTCTTTTAAATTCCTTCTCAGATGATGGGCAATAAAGTGAAGCAGCTTCAAGATGCCTTTTCGTTATCTCCACATCCAACTGATGGGGAATTACGACAAACTCTCCACCCCTATCACTAACGGATAGTCTTATGGTTTTCAACCTTATCAGCTCTCGCACCTCTCACATACCACGTTTTTGCACTTCAGTGAGGCTTGAGCTGTATCTTTTCGCGCAATAGTGATTAAGGACTTTGAGAGTTTCATTCGTAAACATCCGAAATTTAACATCAACTGCACTATTCGGCTCTTGTTGGCTAAAGAACGGCTGAGGAAACGGTGTTATTGGCAGGGCCCACACTTGGTGCTGTTCGCACCTATTTTGCGTTTCATCTCTAACATTTTTGCGGAGTCTATCTTGAAGTTCATGTAAACTATATGCGACCCTACGCAAGGTTATCTTAGAAATGGGCTCAGATGGTGAGAAACTCGGCCCCAATTCTAATAACGAGCGCACCGTCAGGGAGAGTCATGCCTCCTAACGCGGTTAGCCTTGAAATTTCTTGCACATTATTTAGGGTGCGAAGCTGTGTTCAATGTGATTGAAATCTTCGCTTTCATCTTTCATTGTTTGGTTATGAAGGTGTTTGGTCGAATAGATTGCTGTCAACTTGACCTTTCCAGGCTCTGAGGAAGGCGAAATCCGCCGAAACGTCAGCTCGTTCGTGAATAAAGAAATAAAATAACGTATTCATAAACTGTGAGACGTCTAAATCTGAAGAAGCACTCTCTTTCCGCAGATAGAAAGTTCGTATAAAAGCAACCAAGAAACGAAATTCAAAAAAATAAGGGCGTATTAAAGAAAGATCAACAAAAAAACAAGGGGAGAAATAACGGAGTCGAAAGCTGCACTTCGAGCTGTCGATGATAGAAACCGCACTTAGACGATGACAAGTTTATTGGTCAGCTAAAATTCTAAGCGTCACATAAAGTCGGTCAGCACTGCTACTGAAACTTTACAAACACTTAAAAATTTAAGTGGCTGCTGTTGTTTTTCTATATAACGAAGTCTACAAGCATCGAATACAACTGTCATTTTGTGGCAGCAGATATAAAGGATATCTTCATCAGGTGCAATTAAAATCTAGAAAGCTACTTTCCAACATTTTCTTCTACTTTTCGTGTGCTCACTCCCAATAAACTATTATTATTAATATTATTCCCAAGTCCGACTTTCTATTAACCTCGGCATTGATTGAATACATCTTTCTACTTCTGTTCAGCAAACATGAGGTGCTATTTTATTTCTTTATTTACGCACAAGCTGACGTTTCGGCGGATTTCGCATTCCTCAGAGCCTGGAATGGTCAAGTTGACAGCAATCCACTCGGCCAAACAGAGAAAACGCTAAACCAAGATTTCAATCATATTTAGTATAGCTCTCCACACTCACCGCTTTCTATGAGTTTTCCACTGAGTATGTCGCGTGAAGACCGACCGCACAGAATCCACATGGAAGCGTAATGTGCCCCTCCCATCAGAATAACAGGTTTATATACTGTCCAAAATCACGCGTGATAACGAGGCATTCCTCCCTGCGGTTCATTTTCGGATTCTTGGAATTAATCCAGAATGTCTCTAAAGTTTTGCGCGCTTGTGTTCTCGATTCTTGCGCGAGGATCGTAATCTTCTCCGTTATGCCTCTGCGTCCTATGCGTGCCTAGTGGAGTATTTGGCTTACGTTTGCCGACTAGGTGTTCTTTTATACCTACGCAGAGTGGTCTACCCATTTCGCCAATGTATTCGTCCCNCCCGCATGCTTTACAAGAGATCAGGTAGACTGTACCTGATCTCATGCAGTCACCGTCTCTACCATTGGGGCAAATTATGCAATTTTGCGTTGCACATAGACTGCCGTATAGGCGGTTACGAACTAGCTGGCGCCTTAGATTACTCGGTGGTATTTCGATTATCGTTACCGAATTCTCTAGACTGGCTCTTCTTAAGCAGCGCTTAGTAGCGGCATTAAGTTAGTTTGAAATGAGGGGCAGGATAAACGGGAATTTATTGTCGTTGGAGTTATCTTTGGGGAGATTGGGCTTTCCTCTGCGCCTATGCCGAGCTGCAGTTATGCAACCAGTAAAAATGACTATTTCGCGTGCCAAGTTCGGGGTCTCTTCCCTCCACTCTCTTCTTGTGCACACGTTGGTTGCTGCTTGAAACATGTCTCTCACAAGCGCTCTTTTCGTGTGAGAAGGGTGAGAGGAGAGATAATGAACGAAGATGTTTTTACTACATGGCTTTCGAAATCATTTCGTAATCAATCTGGTAGGCTAATTTGAACGCTAAGGAATGGAAGCAATTTTTCCTTCAGTTTCCTTCGGTGAACTTAATACACTTTGACAGAACAACGGCCAGAGGTGGGTTAATGGTGCTTAGAGCTTAGATATAAACGCAATGGCAAGGCTTGGTGCCAGTCACTGTCCCATCACAAACCTTCTCAGTTGAGCGTAGCACTTCACAGACCATCTAACGATTGAGCAGATTAGGCACTCCTTAAGGAGTGTCATCAACTGGTGAATTGAGAAGCCATGCATGTTCATTGCTCCTTCGTGTTTTACAAAGAGCTGGGTAAAGGCTTGCATAGATGAGTCATTCGACACATTTATATAAAATATGGCAACGTACAATGTACATCGGGTTACGACATCCGGTTTTTTTTCTAGTCTACTATACTTTTTGTCACCGTTCTTCGTTTTTTCCCACAGTCTACCGGTTCATCTCTTGATGATTCGATAGCTGCAAGTAGCTTCCAATCAACTAGCAATCCAAAATGGTTATGAAGAAGATGGAGATGTGGAAGACAGTGAAATAGGTTTTATGAATAACGTCGACATGTGGAGGACAGTGAGGCAGGTTTTTATGAAGAAGATGGAGATGTGAAGGACAGTGAGACAGGTCGTTATAAAGAAGGAGGAGATGTGAAGGACAATGAGACAGGTCGTTATGAAGAAGGTGGAGATGTGAAGGACAGTCAGATAGGTTGTTATGAAGAAGGTGGAGATGTGGAGGAGAGTGAGATAGGTTGTTATGAAGAAGATGGAGATGTG